ACTTTTCTATTGGGACTTTCTCTATTGGGCGGTATTATTTAATTGTTTATATGTTGTAGTGTTCCACTGCTTTAACTTTTTGGCCATATTTGCGGTGCAATGCTGTATTATATTCTATTATTATACCTGCCTTGTCCCTAGATATTCATATTTTCTTTTAATATTTTATTATTCAATAAATTTGCATCTACATTTGTTATTGTGGACTTCGAGTTCTTCAACAGGAGTTTATCGAGAGCCTGAATAGGCACCCAAGAGTGATGTACATAGAGCCTATGAGGCTCCATCTTTGTGAGTTTAATCCTCATATATTATAGATTGTTTATTTTAACTTATATGGAAAGCACTATGTATGTTCCATTTGTTTTACAGATGTAATCACCATATCTACATCTACAATAGGTGGTATACCTATCTTGTATATATTCTGTATATATTTTTCTGAGTGTGTGTGAATCTAATTTTTCTACTTTGTCTTTAGGTGTTAAGGGATTACACCTTTTTTCACACTCACTTGTATTGTCTATATTTAAGGTTGGAAGCGCCTACACAACTATATACTTCTTGTATATTTTGTTTTTTTATAAAGACTGCAGTGTCTAACAGCGGTTTATTATCCCTGACAATCTAATGACAATGCCGCTTTAAGGGTTTCAAAGTACAGTGACATGTTTCAAGGTCTGTCCCCTCCTACAGTGTATTAAGGGCGACATTTTTAAGAAACATACCTTATTTTTTTCATCTAAAACATTTTTGTTGTATATTATTTCCTTTATCTATGTAACGTTTATTGATCCATTAATCTTAAATTATTTTGGTATAGGAGGCAGCAGATCTTAGTTAATTTGATTTCTTCCTTGATAAACAGAAACCCATTAACCGCATATTAACCAGAAACAACAGCACACACCCAATGCTATGAAAATCAGAGAGATTATTTTATTTCTTCATCTATTTACTTGGGTACTTATGTAAGAATGAAGTAATGAGCATATCTAGGTTATGAATGATCAGACGTGGCTTAAATGGACACGCCAACTGCACAAATAAATATGAACCCCATCTGAAAACAGGCATGCATTTAATTCTGCATTTTTCATTCTTGGTAAAACTAAAAAAAGGTTGTAATAGCTGCAGATCACCTGCCTGTCGCTTTTGCAAGCCCTCCCTTTCAAACCCCATCCATACTTTCTGTGACTGTCCAAACAAACCAGGAAGTAGTATGACTAATTGAGTGACAGCACAGCCAGGGGGAATAACAAGGTACATTTAAAAAAGTGTAAATTTCTATTGAAATCAGCACTTTTTGTAAAAAAAATTTTTTTTATTTTTTTTAAAAAAGAGGACATATACAAGTCAAAGTGCTTGAAGGCTCTGTGTACCTTAATTATAATTCCACTATTCTGCTCCCCTGACCATATAACCTGTACAATCTGCATGCTGATTGGACAAACTATGACAAAATGCTATGAATTAATGGTTATTATGAGAACTGACATTTTAAAAGACTGATCTCTAAGTGATGTCATCAGCTTTTAAACAATGGTAAAAGGGGAACCCAGATATTATTAGATGGTTGTCAGAATTGGTAGTTTCAGCGGGGACCAGAATTAGTGGTCCCAGACTAACCTATGCTCTGTTTGCAGCGCTAAAAGTGAGCGCTGCATACAGGCATTTAAAAATTTAGTGGCCCCAGACAGATGAGCTGAATGCAGCACTGAAAGTCAGTGCGGCATACAGCTTTTTGATTGCTGATTACTAGTGGTGATCTTTACTATGTCTTTGTGTGCCCTAACTGTATGTTATCTATGGATCATGGCATTTTTCCTTCACAATGGAGAAGGTCCGGCAGTCCAATTAAGTCTAATGTTTCTCTGCAATTGTGGAATCTGTGTGTTTTAGTGTGGCAATTTAGTTTACTGTGATGGCAACTAAAAATACAACAAAAATACCAAATTCTAAAATCGCTCCACATTATAATGTTATTTACTCATCGTATTTTGTGACCTGTAGCTACCAAAAATGAACTGAAATCCTAGACATATCATGTATTCCGTAAATCAGGACAAATAAATTATTCTAGTTTTACTTCCTTTTCTTAAAGGAACACTATAGTCACCTAAATTACTTTAGCTAAATAAAGCAGTTTTAGTGTATAGAGCATTCCCCTGCAATTTCACTGCTCAATTCACTGTCATTTAGGAGTTAAATCACTTTGTTTCTGTTGATGCAGCCCTAGTCACACCTCCCCTGGCTATGATTGACAGAGCCTGCATGAAAAAAAAAAACTGGTTTCACTTTCAAACAGATGTAATTTACCTTAAATAATTGTAATCTTAATTAAACAGAACTTGCAATAAAGAAAGCCTAAATAGGCTCTCTTTACAGGAAGTGTTTATGGAAGGCTGTGCAAGTCACATGCAGGGAGGTGTGACTAGGATTCATAAACAAAGGGATTTAACTCCTAAATGGCAGAGGATTGAGCAGTGAGGCTGCAGGGGCATGTTTTATACACCAAAACCGCTTCATTAAGCTAAAGTTGTCAGGTGTCTATAGTGTCCCTTTAAGCTTCACTAATTGAGTATACATTATTATTGTCAAAGCTGAAAAAAAATTTTTTTATAATAAATGAGAATTTATCTATATGTCACATCAAATTAAAGCACTTTACATAATAAATAATAAATAAATTAGAAAAATGGAAATTGCAGTTGAACAACCTCATAGCAAGAACTGCATTAAGTACAAAACAAACAAACTGAAACTTGGTCCTAAAAGGGTTAATTTATGGAGCAGCATGGTCTTGAAGCAGCACCAGCCTGGCTCTGTAAAGGTTAACAGTGAGAAATAAAAGCTGGCACGGATTGGTATAACCTTAGACAGACTTTGTCTTCATGTAGCCAAATAATCTGAAAAATATTTCAGAGATGGAATTTTTTTTATACAGTGTAGAGAAAGCCCAAAGCTATCCAACTAGCATCTTTAGTTATAAATATACTTTCAAACGGTCTGGAGGAGTCTGGAACTGACTTTATAAAAGGATTGAAGGATGCATGTACCTCGCCTATTTATTTTTGTTTGGGCAGGGAAAAAGCGTAAGAATAAAATGCGGAAAAAGAATAAAAATGTTTATTTATTTATTTATTTTTGTTTGTAATGACTTTCACAATTCTTTTCTGGTAAATTATTTTTTAAATCGCAGGTTCTTATAAAGGAGCAGTTAATGAGTAACAAGTCTAGGGTTAGAACCATTTCCCCCCGAAAATAAGCCCTAGCTTAATTTGGGGTGGTGGGTGGGGTGCTCATTATATAAGCCCTACCCCGAAAATAACTCCTAGTCACTAGTTCGCTAATCTATGTTTGGGGAATTTTCCCTGAATATAGATTTGCAGGATTCCGTGCCCTAGTGAACTGGTCTTTGTTCGGGGAAATTTCCATGAACGTAGACCTGCTTTCTAGCACATGCTTGCTTTTTTCCCTGAAATAAGAGATCGCCCGAAAATAGGCCATAGTGCGTTTTTCGGGGGGGAAAGTAATATTAGACCCGGTCTTATTTCTGGGGAAAGACGGTATATAACCACAGTTAGTCACAATTATTTCATACTCAGCCCGAGTATGTCTGCTCATGTTTGCGCAGTGTATTTGCAGATGTTAACCACAAAATGCCCGGATAAGCAGACATGAATCCATGTGGGAGAAGACAGCCATGGGTGCACCTCCCTACCAATATTATTATTATGATTAATATAGTGCTGACATATTATGCAACGCTTTCCAATTACAGAATGGGGATATTGAAAAAGAAGTAATAAGAAAACAATAATATCCCTCCGTGAATGGTGGAAATGTAACAGGGTATTGAGGGATCAAATGCATGTCCATGTAGGGGGCCTGCCAGCCTGGTATAACTACCAAGTTATCTTCTGAGTCATTTCATAAACTGATAGTTACCAGAAACTGTCCTTCTACCCTTTGTATTCCTAAAATAAACGAGGAACAAAGAGTTGTTCTATGTTGAAGAAAAAGCATCTTTTATCTGAGTCACCAACAGAAAATGAAAATAATCAGATGGCAGGCTACGTGATCAAAGACAACTCTGAATAAGGGATGGAAAATACTCACTGAAACAGTTTACGCAGGAACCCACAGAAGACATAAATAAATAGAGGCTCTTTGATGTCAGGATATTTGCACAAACAACTGTATCACAGAGACCACAGACAACAAATTGTCAAATCAAAGCATCTAAAGACAGCAAATAAGCAGCCCTAACGTAAGCAGCCAGGTATATTGTTTTAATTAGTGTGTGTCACGGCAAGGGTGCTGTAAATGCGGTGGATTCAAGAGCAGCGCCGTTACATTTCCATACAGAACCATAGAACACCATAGAACCATAGAACATAGATCACCCCCAAACCCCTATTTCTAAAATCAATACCTGAACACAGGAGATGAGGCAGCATGCTAGATGGTTGAAATATGGGAGTTATAGTCCACAGACTCTGGAGTCCAGGTATACAATTGCTGCAATAGATACCAGAAAGTTGGAGTGCGCTAGCAACTGCACTGGAGTCAGGATCTTCTCTGAGTACTCTGAAAAAATATACAGTATATAGTGCAGACTATAGTGCAGTATATACAGGGTATGCAAAATTAAAAGTATATCTGGGGATCAACTCACATGGACCAGAGTCCTATCACCCCTGGCTCTGGGTTTGAATTGCTCCAATGGAGAGGGATAAACCCACAGTATGGCAAAACAGGATACTCTTCTGAATCAGATGTAATATCTAGGCAGGATAAACAAATAGAGAGGCAGGAGCCCAAATTGAATAGTATCAAACACAGTATTTATTTAAACAAAAGGTTAAAAACTCTTACTTGAAGTAGTGGGTTTGCCAGCAATAAACCCACAACTAGATAAGCAGGAATTTACATACAAAAATGATACAGCTTAGACACTTCCTGGTTCCGGTCACGTGATCGCGGGGACCGCCTCTCTCTGATGTCACACGTGACGAGTTTCGCCCGCCTCCTGGGCTTCTTCTGACCTGGTCTTACCTCAACAGTCTCTTCCCAAGCCATTGGCATCTCCAGCTGTACAAATCCAATCATGGCGGCGGATTAAGCGATGTACAGTGTATAGCCTCAAGGTGGCGCCGAAGCAACCACCCAAGCAATCACATGCAGGATCGCAAACAGAACCTGAAGGGCTGAGCAGAAACACACACACAAGATACGAGACCCAACCTACCAGATTGCACCTTGGCAAGGTGACATGCAGTGTGCCTCTTCACTCTAGGACTGTGTTGTGCCCCTAGCAGGCATAGGCTAAGACAGGCTCTGGGACTGAACGGTTACTCACTACAGCTGAATGCCTACAAGAGTGTATTGCTGGGTGCAATTCTTTGATGTCCAATATAGTCAGCCCTTTCTCTTTAGTCGCTGTATCCATTAGACTTGGAGTGGGGGCTCCTTCCAGGAGTAATAAGCCTGTCATAACTCTTATTGTTTTTTTTATATCTTGTTACTTTCTTATCTCCTTTCAGAATATCTTGACTCAATGTAAGTACATCTTGTTATCTTTAATTTTAAGCAAAGGGTCAATGCCAACGCTTGTATTTTACACTGCACACCAAAACTAAAGAATATGAAAAATAAATTAAAAAAAAGAACACTGTAGGTACCATAACTGCTTCATCTCATTGTAGTGGTTATAGTGTCTGAAGTCCCCTGGCACCATTCTTTTATTCACCGTTAAACCATTTTTAATGTTTTAATGCAAAATTAGAGTTCACAGAAGCCCATTCTTCTCTGTGATGCTTTGGGTAATAAACCCCTTAGACTGAAGCAGTGGGCAGCTGTGATTGGCTAAGTGTGTCACCTGACCACATTCAGCCTATCACAGTGGCCACTGCTGGTATGAATCAGTATGACTGGAAGAAAGAGTGTAATTTCTGCCTTGGCCACACCCCCTCCAGTGCGAGCTGCTGTGATCCCTAAACATTCTACATAAAGCAGTTATATTGTAATAGCCACATCCCTTTATTGTAAAAGATATTGGGGAGGGATGGTTAATTGTCCCCAACAGTGTGAGTTGCTGTGGGGGGGGAGGGGGATGGTTAATTGTCCCCAACAGTGTGAGTTGCTGCGATCCCTGAGTATTCTGTAGACAGCAGTCTGTTTGGATCAGGGGCAGCCTGATATGCTTTGCTTAGAGGACGACACTGACTTGGAATCAATAAAAGAGGCTGCAAGAGGTTGAACCCCAATATGTTTTACACTAAAAGCCTATGGACATGTCAATTCTATTAATATATGGTACAATATATCAAACGTTAGTTATGGTAGCTCCCCTTTAACATCCAGTTATGATTACGTAGATTACGGTTGGTCCTTCACAGGTTAATTACTACAAGACATTAGGAGAAACAAACAAATACATATATTAATCTTGATAACTGTATAATCGAAGCTGTGTTCAGAGCATGCACCAAACATGATACAAAAAACATGCCTGGTCTGTGAGAGCCCCAGGAATAGGTCTCCAGAGGGCCAGGCTGTGTACCCCGACAGCAGGGGTTTTGTAACACAGAGATAATGACCCACATCCCTACAGAGACACTCCAAGAACCTGCACCCTGTATAACTTGGGGTGTACTGTCAGGGGTCAGCAAGCAGGGGGAGGGGGGAGAATCTGAGCCTTGTTGCTTTCTTTGTACCGATTTCTGCCTTCATGTCTTCCTTGATGTATAGTTTTATATATGACCACACAAGGTATATGGACCCTGGTGCCGCCGGAGTTTAGGCAGCATTTGGAATTTGGATGGAACCATTCTGTGTTCTATACAAATTTTCTCGGGAGTGTTTTCTAGTGGATGCAAGCATGGCATGTAGTATATAATAATAATGATAAAGTATGTAGCTATTTTTCTAATATCTTTATCTAATATCCAA